AGGCTGGGTTTGAAATACAGAATAAGTAATATAAAAGTCATTAGCAAGACACATCCATTAGGTTAATGACCCCTCTAATTGCTGAGCTAGTCCATGCCCACTGCCAGAAGCTGAATCCAAACTGAATTCCTTCCCTCCCTTCTTTTTCAAACAAACTAGACTCCACCCTCAGGGAGGTTTGTGGCACTTGTGGACCAGGTGGTGGAATGCCAGACATCACTTGACTGGTCTGCACATTTGACTTGAGCCACTGGGTTTGAATACTGACTTGAATTCACACACTTCCCCCTCTGACCTTCCCTGTTTTACAGTGTGTCCCCCCTTGCAAACCAGAGGTGGTCTGTTCTCACCAGATGCTTGGCTAATCTCAGAGCTCATTCACCCTGGCATTTCATGGCTGCTGCTGGGGTGCCACCAGCCCACATCAGAGGGACTACAGATAATAAAACAGTCTTCTGGAAACACATCTGGCTCAAACTGACAAACAGCCCAGGGGCATCTGGTCTTCTTTTCTGTTCTCCTACTGCTGGTATGAAGTTCCTCACAGGAAAAAGCAGAAGCAAACAATCAACTCAAAGTCTGCGGCAAGGCCTCAAAGATGGTAAGCCAGGCTCCCTTGCCAGCTTAGTGTTCTGAGGGTTGAGTAGACCTACCTGGAATCAATAAAGGGTTGGATAAGAGAAATAACCTGAAGCTCAATGCAGGGGAGATCAAGGTGCTGTGGGCTTGGTTTACGAGTACCATGAGCATGCTATCTAGCCTGTTTTGGATGGAGCTATTCTCCCCTTTAAAAATCAGGTCAACGGCAAGGGTTTCATGTTAGATCCAGCTCTGCTTATCATCATCCAAGTGGAACACCCACATTTGCTGGGGTGCCAGCTGCATGCCATTGAGAGGGGAACTGCTTCTGTCATGTGAGCTCACCTGTCGCTTTAGGTCATAGCCTGTGGCAATGCTGCAAGTACTACTACCTTCATAAGTTAAGCAGGTGGCTACCCATGACAGTGTCTTCCCAGTGGTGGAAGATGCTGACAAAGTAATCCTCCCTAACTGGTTGGACTGCATATTGCTGAGGGCAACAGAAGATGTCATAACTATTCTCCCTCTTACTCCTTTCAGTTCCTTGTTACATACCTGTCCTAAAATCTGGAATGAAAGTCATCAGCTGCTTATTTCAATTCATTATCATTAGGGTTTGTACTCTATCCTTAAATCAAATTTCCAGGGTGGCTTCCACAATTCCAAAATATAAGAAAACAATTTTAAAACATGCACAAATACACTGCTTCTGAGGTGTGAGAACTGACAGTGCCTACTGATCATTCTGAATGAAGTATTCAATTCATCTAACACTCTTTTTTCTAACTAAGTCATATTCTTTGTTGAGGTGAGGGATGTCACCAACTGTAACTCTCTCTTTTATCTCTGTTAACCTCAGAGATGTTCTAACAGTTCATTCATCTTTATTTAGGGAAGATCACTAGGACAATATGTGAGAGCCATAAAGCAATAAGATAAAGACTTTTGCTAAAATACATTCCACAGCTTCTCAGAAATGGGACAAAAAAACTAATTATATGGGAAGCACAACAAGGAACCAGGGCAAGATACAAAAACACAGGGAACTGGGTGAGTAGTTTGCAAGAGACAACAGTGTGCTCTTTGCTCATGGGAAGGTATGCAAGCAGAAAGCCACAGTAAATGTTCTGATTTTCTCAGAGAGGTTCAGCTACTGGGTGGTATAAAAAAGTAATAAATGAGCACATATAAATAATGGTGATCAAATGCAGAAAATCAGATAAAAGCTTGTACTGTTTAAATACTGCCAAGTCTATAGAAGCCATAATAAAGGCACACAATAAAGGCCTTTATTTATTCTTCTTTTTTGTACAGTTGCCAAGGAAATCAGAAAGACCCCTTCCAGGGTTTTGTTGCCAGGATTCCACTTTCTGTAGACAGAAGGATACTTTTTTCCAGTTTCGCAATTTCTGGAATTGTGGCACAAACATATCCAAGAGCCACTGGAAGTCCTCTGGGCTCCATCTGCATCCATACCCAGACTAGATTGCTGCAATTCACTATCAGGATGACTTTTTATGGAAAGTGCTTTTGTAGCTTCACTTGGCTGTACAGCTGTGAAAATTTTATCTGGGAGAAGGAGGAACGAGCATATCTCACTGGCGCTTAAAGAACTTCATTCTGTTCTGGTCACAGTCCAAAATGCTGCTTTTTCTCTGCTGGCCTGAAACTATCTAGAACTGGAATGTCTGAAAGACTGCCTTCCTCCTACATGAACATGCCTAAAGTAAACATCTTAGCTGGAGGTTTCACCTTGAGTGCCCCCATTTTCAAACTGGGAGGGGATGGCTCCCAAAGCCACAGGGCCTTCTCACTGGTGGTGCCTTGTTTGCACAACCCCCACTCTTCCAGTATGCATTCATTTACTAACTACTTGGATGGCTTTTAGGAGCAAGGTAATACTTGTTTTGTTTAGCCATGTATTTAATGACTTTTGTTTGGCTTCTATTTTCAATCTGTTTTGGGTATGCACTATTGTATTTTAGTATCTAATTCTTTGTAGAGAGAAAGAGTAATATTATAAGCTACCTAGAGCACAATGGCTAAAAAGGCAGAGTTATTTATTTATTTATTTATTTATTTATTTATTTATAACATTCTTATCCCGTCCTTCGCAACAAGCCTCAAGACGGCTTACAAAATTCAGGATGGCTTACAAAAGAGTAGAAATATTTTTTTATGCATACAAGACACTAAAATAGCATTTCCCTCCTTTTACCCCATTTCTGATTGTGCTTGTTCCCTCTAAGTAGTTGCTCAATGCTCATTTATTCCCCTGTAGAATTTCAGTTTCAGGAAAGATATTAGGTAGCTTATGGTTTACAGCTTAATTTTTAAATCCATTTTCCTTTCTAGAAAGCAAAGAATAGAGTGCCCTGTTTTTCTCTCTTAGCATCCAGAGTTATTTCAAACTATTAGACCACAAGTAGCAGCTGAAAAGGGTTCTTAAGTGAGAACACAGTTTAAGCATCAATTATGTGTTTCTTATTTATTACTCTAGGATCCCCAGAGGGTGGTTCCAGGTTTTCAACATTTCTTTTCCTTGTGTGTTTTATTTGCTCTGCCTCCAGTTGCTTACAAACTGTTTAGAGGAGGTGGTGGGGGCTGTGTTTTCTTTTCATTTTTGATTGTACATCAGCCTAAATGACACTACAAGGTACAATCCCTATAAAAAAGACTATAAAACAACCAACTGTAGCTCTGTTAAAATGCCTCTTCACTGATGAGTATAAAGTCAAATGCAAATATTTCATGTGGGCTTCTTAATGAAACTGTTACACTACCCTGCAGGGCCATGCATGGAGCACAAAGTTACTCTCGGATTACAATTTGGTGAATTGAAAAGCAGCCCAATTCATCTAAAACTTGATTTGGCTTGGGGTGTGATTCTGAATCATGATTTGGAGATTCAAAGCATTGTTCCTGCAGTAACTATCACTGGAAATCAACAAACAGGGATAACTTTCTACTGTTTCCCAGAACTGGATGGAATTTGCATGAGCAGCAGCCCCTGAAGAGGAAGTGTAATCAAAATCATACAAATACATGCAGGATGTGTGTGCTTGTGTGCTGGGAACCTTTTAATTTTAATTTTTCAAAGAAGGGAACTGCGAATATATTTTCTTTTTTACTACTCAGCAGATTTTGATGAAGCTTGCAAGCACAGTTACTTCCTCCTGAGGCCTGCCAAGTTTCAAATGAACAGGTGCAGGAGCTTTTACACAACAGCAGCCATTATGGGTTTTTTTTTTTTTTTCAAAAAATGCATTTACTTGCCAATGTTATTTGTGGGCAATTGTTAAGAAAATGTCATACAATATAGAGGTGGTCTTAGCTATGAAACCTACAATATTTTGCAAAGGAAAATGCAATGTCTGTCAGGGGAGTCTTCAAACTGGGGGCAGACTAAATTATTCATTTCCATGATTTCTTTCCCTTTTCAATATAGTTGAACTTCAGAGCTGCACCTCCTTTTAAAGGATGCAGCACTATACTTTGTTCATATTAATATGGCAAACTGTTCTGAGAGGTGTGGACATCTATGATGCCACTGGAGAAGTCTGGTTATCTATCTAGTTTATGCATATAACATATAAAAGTGAGGAAAAATGATTTATCCAAACAAAGTTTTGCCACTGAATTACTTTGGGTACTCTGTAAACAGGGCTATTCTTTCTCAAGTGTTTTGCTTCATGCATAGAATTATGCAAGGCGGTTGCCTATCCAGGCTTCTAAAATCCTTGAGGTCATCAATTAGCTTTTTCCAAGCTGTGACTGCAAACTGCCAGTTCTTTCCATCTAGTTTATCCCCTTTGCCTCCTTCCCACCCCCACCCCCGAAAGGATTAAAAAGAAAAAGATAACCCCTTAGCACTTCTCAGGCTCAAGAGTCCTCTTGCTAAGCCGCAATCCTAAATATACTTACCCAGTGCGGGGAGCCTTCTGCAAATCCAGGGCCTTCGAGGTAAGAATTCTAAGCTTGCCCTGCAAGACCAACTCTCTCAAAAAAATATTTGCAGCTGCTTAGAGGAATCTTATCAAAGGAGGGTTCTGTGTCTTGTACGGACTTGGCATGATATTCAGTCACTAAAAACAATCCCCTGGAATAACTACAAACCTGCTGATTCTTTGACATATTTTCTCCTTCCTACCCCGGCACTGCTCATTGCAATGACAGCCAGTATCTATTACTGATGAGCCAGTTACACACAGGTACAGAAAGATCTGCCAAGTCTGAGCGGTGCTTGAATGTCTGAGCAACCATTAGCTATCAAAGCACCCAAATAGAAGCCCAGCAGCATTTGAAAACACACGCGCACACACGCACACATGCAAGAGCCAACAACTGATTGGTTGGCTGGCCCTATAGTGAAGCCAACATTTCATCTCGGGATCCAGGAGGGGAAAGGTCTCACTGCTTACCCTGGCTGAAGGAAGGCTACAAGCTTCCAGTGCAGTCTCAACACGTTTTCTGTCTGAGGAGAACAAGCGATAAATACTGCGAAGTGAAAAAGAAACAAAAGGAGTAAAGACCTGCATTGGGCACATTTAAAACTGTGGCTGTTAACCTAGAAAGCTCTAAATAGTTGAGAGCTCTTAGGAATATTCTAAGGACTACCTTCTGTCTTATGCATTTTCCCAGTCGCTGAGGGGATGGTTCCTCCGTTTGGTTTAGAATAAAATATTGTAAGGAATATTGAGGAATTCAAATATTCCTCAGTATTTTTCTTGGCAAGTAATTTTGGGAGCAATTTACCCATTACATGGCAACAGACAAGTTTGCCATCAAGCATATGCAACCGGGAACCAGACCTAGTTGTGACTCTGTGCTGTGAACAGCAGGATATCTATGTCATCAAGTACTTTTTCTGCACGCACACCTGGCATTTCTAGATGTACATGCACTTAAGAATACACATTAGTTTTGTAACCCTAACATGGGAATCCAGAGTGTATGGAAGAGGAAATTCCCAGAGTTTCAGTTCACCACCTGCAGAGAAATGTGAAAACCCTTCACACACTGGTCAATATGGCATCCTCAGAACTCCACAGCTGTGATTTCACCACTGAAGTGCTGATGGCAGTGCACACTGTGCCATGTGCAAACTTCCTCTGTCTCTGTCACATCCTTAAAGACCCAGGGAACAATTGAGCTGGCAGTGATCAAACATGCAGTGGGTTCTATCCAATGTTAGTCCTACTTAGAGTAGATCTGCTGAAATGCATGGAACTGCAGGTAAGCTCCCTCTAGAAGCCTGTCTGAATTGAATTGAACTGATCTGTCAAATAGAAGTTCTTTACACCTATGGAAACACAAGACCCTCTGAATAACTTTCAGCCCCTGTAGCTTGTGGAGTCTTTGCTCCTGAAGCAGAGGTTTTATTCTCTCTGAGGGGGTTAAGCTGTGTTTCCATGTGTCACACCGCAACTGGGGGCTCTTCTGCACAAAGCACTTCCTTCACAGGCCAAGTGGATCTAGCCTAGACTACTTCCTGTCAGGCTAGTTCAGCTTTGGCCTTTTGGGGGCAGGCAAGGCTGCGTTCTGGATTTGGGCATCACTCTAATTAATGAAGGAGCACAGTCTAGATTGTTTAGCTGCTCTGGCTGTCAAGAAGAGCTAAGCAGGAGTGACCGATTCATGTGAACTAGTACTCTGGCTTGCTCATGATAATCTAAGGTTTAAAAAACCCTTGTTGCTGCTGTTGTCCGTGTGAACAAGGCCTGATCGCTGCCGCTTCTGTTGTGTGTGGGAATTTTTTGTATGGAGGAACATTCAGACATGTTAGTACCCACTTGTAATCTGAAATGATAATTTTTTCTTTATAGTTATTTATTTTATTTGTTTCATTTCTATACAATACAATAGCCAAAGCTCCTTGGATAGTTAACAGCAGTTCCTACAATAATTTGACTACCACAGTGAGAAGGACTAAGCCAGAATGATGGCAACTGTCATAGACTCCTCCTCTGTTTCAAATGGCACATGTAGAAATTCTATCATATTGGTATACAGGGCCTATTCTGGAAGTTTTTCATGCCACCAAACTACAATGGAATATTACTTACTTTTTCAAAGGAATGCGTCCCTCCGTAGTGACTTGCAATTTAAGTTTTGTGTATCTGGAGAAAAGAAAAATGTGTTTAACAGAAATTATTGCAACCATAATATTAGAATTCGGTTTGTTTCTCACACTGCTGACCATAAAGTAATCCAGAACTTTGTTCTTTTGAAGGAAAAAATAATAATCTCTCATGTTTCACCATTTCTAAGAAAAGCTTAATGTTGTGAAACCTCAAGCAAATTATTTTTACTTATAATGACATTCCCAAGTGCAGATTTTGAAAGAGATCTCAACTATTCTCAGGGAAGTAAAGAAAAAAAATCTTTTTGCCCACACAGGTTTTTTTTTTTTTTTTAACATTCTCCAGGCTTGCATATAGGGCACACGGAAGACCGTGGCTTGTATTTGGGGTTTGAGTAGGAATGTTATAAGGATCTAGTGGTTTGTGTTAAGCTTTTGCTGAGATGAGCCACTAGTATCAGTGCTGCCCATACTCTCAGCCTCATGGGAGTTGGTTACTTGTGTTCCTGTTGCAGCTGGGAGAATGTTTGAATGACACAAATATGTTGGCAGATGCCAATCCCATAGGCCTTTCCAACAGAACTCTCTCTCACCCTCTCTCTCTCCCTCTCTCTCTCTCTCTCTGTGTGCGCGCGTGCATGCATTCATGTATCTATTATTTGTATTCTGCCTTTGCCCCCTCTTGTAAGGGACCCAAGGTGGATTACACAGGTCCATATTTGCCCATCTGTCTGTCTAGAAACGCAGATGTATGAGAAAGACTGGCGCAGTAAGCTTCCACCAACATGGTCTAGTTATCAATGAGAAGCAGTTTCCCCACAGCTGAAAGAACATCTAAAGGCAACTTGATTGGGCAGGCAATAATGGAGAACCTTGGATAATCACAGCATATGTTCTCTGCTATGCTTATTATCACAGTGATTCACATGACAGGTATAGTAGCTCTAAGTCCTTCAAATACACACAAAATCAAAAGGCAGCATCACATTTGACCTCTGTGATAGTTTAAAACATCCTAAGGGGAGAAAGATTAGGCAGCTGGAAGTTAAACCATCTATGGCACAGACAGGTATGCATCCCTCATGCCATAAACTAAGGCTGTGGTTTTCAACCTTCCACTGCTGGAGACAGGTGAAAACAGGAAATTCACCTCAGGGACTGCTGAGACTGAAACAAAAAGTATTGTACGCATAATACAGAATTCTTTTTATTTGTTTCCAAACACAATACCAAAATCAAACAAACAAACAAACAAACAAAAAAGACTCCAAAACAACCAGAAACCAAGCAACAAAAAATGCCAACAAGTAAAATACTGAAATTGGCACAGTGCGGCTCCCAGCTGGCTCTCACTGAGTTGGCTCCTCCCTGCCTCCCCCCTGGTGGCACCAGCGCATCCCCCATGAATGTGATGCCAACTGAGGAAGAAGTGGTAGAGCCTAGCCAGACCCCGCGCTGGTCCATGGAGTGTGGGACTGGTAGGAAAGCTCCTGAAGACCGGCACTGGTCCACAGACAAGTGGTTGAAAACCGATGTACTAAGGTGCCATTATCTGGGGAAATTTGGAGGATCTAACACCATCCCAAATCCAGAATCTCTTTTAGGGATGTGGAGAGAGCAAGGTAGTGACTCATAGATGCAAGCAGTATTAGAACATGTGTGGAGAATGCTCAACAAATTTCAATACTCTCCACTAACCTAAAACATTAGATGGAGAAAATCCTTCTTTACTGCTCCCTTACATGGCATCCACCAGAGAGAATGGGCCAGTGATCAAATGGAACAACAGTCACTAAATTACATGGAAGAATTATGTTCGCAATTTACTTGGCTGAAAATACTGTGACTAATCTAGTCAAATCATCAGGCACTTTGACAAATACTGGCAACACAAAACATCTTTCCAATGGAATATATTTTCCCAGTGGACCATAAACCTGGATGTCAGATCTTTTGCTCTTTGCTTGGCCAGGATCATTCGTAACCCATTATTCTAGTCCAATAGATTTTTCAGAAGAAGATTTAGCAAAACTATGGGAAACATACATCTGGAGCCCTGTGGGGTGGTAGCGATGGCGCCTGGAAGGATCTGTCATAAAGAAACCGAAGGCAGAGAAAGGTTTAGCAAACACACACACCAGTGTACTAATTAGTTTCTCTAGGAGTTGCTTCTCTTTTAAAAAATAATGCTTCAGGATTCTATCATGTATTTGTGTGTAATGCACTTCTTGTTTTCAGTATAATCTAGCACATCCCTGAGCATCAATCACCTGTGTGACTTTGGATAAACATGGATATATTTGGGAATTTCCTCTCAGCTCTAAGGGTGGAGGGAAGCTTCTACTATTTTTGTTCTAGGATATTCTCATCAATGCCCTTTGTACTTTTGTTCCAAAGCTCTCCAAATCAACACTTCGTGCCTACAAATTTCACAGAAATAGATCTACAGTTTTTTGCCACAAAGTGAAAAAGCACAAGTGATTAAAGAAAGGGAAGCGGAAATCTTCTATCACTATTGTTTGAGTAATAATAGCACACTGCTATTGCCAAAGAAGAGAAGCCTGAAACCTGTTGTTCATAACCTTAAACCACAGTGCCAAGTTCTAAGGTCATCCCCTCTACAGCAGCAGGAAGTGCTCGCAAAGCTACCACATTTATGACTCTAGCCAGCCTGCTCACACAAAGCAGCATCTGCACACATATCCAGACCAGCTCTGTCCTCCAAGCTCTGGTGACCTCCAGACCTGAATGCTGTAACATGCCCTAAAGAGGGTTGCCCTTGAAGACTGTGCAGAAACATCAGCAGCTGTAAAGTGCAGTGGTTTGAATGTCAATTGCCTCAGGCTGATGTTCTCATACTTGGTCTGTTTTAAGACCACTGCAGTGACAACTGTTCTGCCTCTGGGCCTGGCTGAAACTGCTGGTACAATCCTGTGGTCTCTGAGAGGGCGAGCTTCCGATCCTAGTCTTGTTGGGGCACCACTTGCGCAGGGTGCACAAGAGCCTGAGGCCTATTGTAGCATATGCACGTCACATGAAACTATGGTTTCACTCCAGGTGCCAAGGCAGCCTCTAAGCTAGCAAGTGAAAGCTGAAAAACATTTTATCTGCCCCTACCTTTGCTTTACCTAAAAGGAGGCCTGGGGCTTTCCTCTGCCTTCAGTCCCTTGCCAGTGTATTTCTCCATACATCCTGAACATAAAATAACTTCCTTTAACGGAATTATATTAACACCTAGCTCAAAATGCAAAATTCAGCTTTTAAAAAGTTATTTAAATATACACACACTGACTGTTAGCTTATAGATCTCCACAAAATGGTTACTAGCTGGACTAATGTAATCCCCTATGGAGCATTAACAGTAGCTGATCACCAATAACCTAAAAGTGAATGAAATTCGTTCTCTGATGAAAAGTGATAGCCAGAGACATGTTGGCGCTAGAAGCAGAAAACTGTAGCTGCTGCAACTGTTTTTTAATTTAATTTTGTTAAGACTTGAGGGGCTGAAAGGCAGGTTTTAAATATTTAAACACACACACACCATCTCCCGAAGCAAAGAACACCCCTCCCCATTACACACACAACTTCCTATCCTTTAACAAGAGCCCAAATCTACCATCTGAGATACTTAGCTCTTCTGTTCTGCTTCACGGCAGTGCTGGCCCTGCCCATGAACTCTGATCCTGTACTCAGGGACAGTCCCATTTAGATACAAAAATGTTTGCTTTTTTAGTGACCTTGAGACAGAGTTTAAATCTGTTTATTTGTTCCTTTCAAAAACCTCACTGGCCTGTTTTAATTGAGGAAGCAATTCTGTGTTTGGCTATACCACTCCCACTAGGAGCTCCTATGCCTGACTCCTTCACCATTTTTAAAATCAAGTTCTTAGCACACAGAAAACTAGCTTGTCACAGAAAGCATTACTTTAGCAAACATTCTTCCTACTGAGATGTGCTTTCCAGGTGGAAGAATTACCCCACATATGATATACTTCATCATATGCGTCTTCATCTGCAGTCTGAAATCGGACTACTGACAAATCTCCTCCTTCATGCATGCACACAATCCACCTACATACCTCTGTACCCAACAAATCTAAAGATTTTTGGATCTTTTTGGTAGACTGTATTTTGACAAATTTTGACAAATTTACTCAAGATTGCTGACAACCGAAGTACAGGAGTTTTATTGTACTACAAATATTTACAGAAGGAAAAAGAACTATTAGTTCATCGCTACCTAGTGCTACACCAGCAAACTATTTATTCCTAATAGCAATGACAGAGAAAGAAGGAACAGTGGCAGGAAGTTGCAGTTCATCAAAGAAGGGCATTATAGAAATGGCAACCTGATCAATGGAAGAACTGGGCACTAGGAAAGAACTCAAGTTTCAGTAGTGGGGTGGGGGCATGAGAGGGGCAGAATGGTTCTTTTTGCACCTGCCTGCCATGGGTCCCTTGTCCATGCAGCCTTTCCCAGAACAAAAGGCCCATACTGGATGTCATAGCCAAAGGTAGCAAGGCAGGTTTGGGTTGGAGTGACCTCCAGATGTGCTGGACTTTGACTCCCATATTTCCTGCAGGATGGATTTGATTTAAAACAAATAGATGATCTCCAGGCACATGATCTCTCCAGGCACAAATTCACAGTTCTGAAAACAGAGAAGCCAAGCCTCTGTGGTAATACCTTCTAGACGAAAAATTCCCCAATAATCTTACAGAAACCTCTGGAAGAGCATGACATTGTGGAGGGATTAACGGAATTCATTTACAAACAAATGTAAACACTGCATGAACATACAGCCTCATGCTACACAATTAAAAACTAATCCTTATCATATGATGAATAACATTTGGACTGTAATGCATTTTAAATAGAAAACTATTCCTCAAAAAGAATTTTATTTTAAAAAATCCAATTTAAATTTTAAAAATCTAATTCAAATACAAATGATTTAAGTTTTAAACCCTAATTTTTATTTTTTTAAAACATTGATATTTATCCACCCTGATTTCCTGTCAGCATGGATCAAGCAAACCACAAAATACAATGATGAGCTATTTCTCGGCAGCAACACATTAGACGTACACGCACCGCCTCTCAGTGAGAAGTAAGCCAGTATGAAAGAGGAAAAAGCATGTTTATAAAAGTGGCAGTCCATCATCATAAAAACAATTGAAAGCAACCATTCCAACAAAGGAAAAGGAAGCTGACACACAACAAACAGAAGTAGCCGTCTCAACAGTGTTTTGTCACTTACGCTTTTTCCAGAAAAGCATCCCTTGACATGTTCTGTGCCAGGAGGTTTGTTGCCAGGCTGAAGATTTCCTCTGACCATTCCTAAACAGAGAGAAAGAAGCTGCCATTTATATTTGAGCAACCACAGCACAATCCTTCAGAACTTCTAAGAGAGGTACAGGCACAAGGACAGACTGTTTTATACAACAGCTGTAGATAAAATTCTCCAACAGGGTGTCCAAAGAGGCTTATCAAATTCAGGTTTACTTACAGTAGAGGTGGGCAATCTGTAGCCCCCTTGGCCTAGCTGTAAAAGCCTTTGGCACTTCAGACCTCTATCCAGATACACTGACTAGATATCAGACCACACAACGGTGTACACTAAAGGACTGAATGGAAGTAGTGTCTGTTGAACTATGGCTTGTTTATTTATTTAAAATATTTATATCCTGTCCTTTACGAAAATCGTCCCAGGATGGCTTACAAAAACTATAAAGGTTGTTATTGAAATGTGGATTGTCTTGGCTGAACTCAGTTGTTTATTAACCACATGATGAGAAGACAATCCATAGTCTGTTGTCTGAGTGTCAATTTGGGTGATCCATCATGGTCTGTAATCTCAGCTAGGTTTGGACAACACAATAGCCTATGGTTTGACAACAATCCACAGTTCAATCACAACTCTCACTCAACCCATACTCCACCCTTGAGTGTATCTATCGTGTTGTCTAAATCTAGACACCATCTTGGAATCTTTACAATAACTCTGCAAGGTAGGGCAGTATTACTATCCCCACATTGCAACTGGCAGGTGGCTAAAAGAGGCTTGTCTAAATCTACCTAGTGAGGCCATGTGAGAAGTGACATCTGAATCAGCATCTACCTGATTCATAACCCAGTGCTGCACCATACTACTTCTCTTTTCATATTATTAATGAAATAAAATAAAAGATCAGGTTTTCAAACTTTCCTCCAACAGGTTAATGATATACCAACTGCTGACTTCTTTATACATGCAACATAAAACACTGATTTCTATTTGAACAGAAACTGTGGAAAAGGCACCCAACATATTTCAGTAAGGATTTTAAATATATTTTTAGCATACATCTCTCCTAAACTGAATGCAGAGGTGGTGGGATTAGTTTCCTGGGAAACTGCTGATCCTTTTGCCCAACAGAAATTTATGTAAAGAACCAATATTTCTCCTAATTTTATGCTGTAAATATTAATTATGTTTGACCCCCAAGGCAGTATACATGAGAAATCAATGTGTTCAGGAAGCACAGCAAGTGACCTGATTATTTGGATGCCTCCGGGAAAAATAAAACAAAAACCTGCACTGATTAGTTCAGCTAATCAAGATTAAAAAGGAAAAAAAGTGGGGAGCCAACAACAGTAATTAATATAAGGGACAGGATTCTACTTTGGATAATCAAGAATTGACTATATCCTTTTGGATGGTGTGCACTGATAGTCACATGCAGCATTACGTTGAAGCAGCAGCACTAGCGAGTTTTACTCAAACGTTCCCACGCTGGGCGATGCAGCTGTTGCGCTGAAACCGTCACTGTTCTGCACAGAGCATACACCTCTTTTGCCTCTTGCCCCTATGCTCACATCTCTGCTGACAGCCTGGAAAACCTCCCTGCCATCCAACCTTGAAATCTTGGCATTATCGTTCATGTCTCCCCACCTCTCCTGCAGCAGACAGTTTTACAAACATCATCGTCCTGCCAAGCTGTCATTTTGTCCCTTCCCTTCCCTGAAATCTGCACCAAAGCATAATTTATACCATAATTCTAAACAAAAGTATGTGGCTTTTCAGTCTCCTTGACAAAAAAGCCCCCTTTCCAGTCAACTTTACATTTGGCCACTCAGTATTGTCAGAAAGCATTATGCTGAATCCAGAGCCCTCCCATGTTCCTTCACTGCACTCGAACACTTATGGTATGGTTCAGGCCTATGCTGTTTACCCAGCCTCCTGGAATTCCCTTTTATCAATCCTCGGCCCTTTTCTACCTTTAAAGTTGTTTTGGACAAGCCAAATCTCACTGCAGTGCCAGTTTAAGAGGGCAGAATCCTCTTTTGCTATAGAGGTCTCATTTTCATTGTCTCTCACCACTGTAAAAGTGTTCAGCTTATCTTCATTTATACCTGCACACCCCATCGGATTGCTGGTGAATTATTGGTATTTTGCAAATCATTTTCCATTACAGAAATATAATTCTGTTTGGGAAAAAAAGCATCCACCATGAAATAAGTAAACATCAGAGGGAGCAAGCCTTTCACTCTACTAAAAACAGAAGGGAATTGATATGCACAAGGGCTTCTTGTGCTTGTCGTACAGGCGCGTCAGTTATCAAAAGTCTTGAGAATTACTGTTCTGGAAACATATTAAATGAGAAACAGATGTTATTTTATTAATCCTTACTCTGACTAACCTTCAGTCCTCACACCAACTAATGCCTTCCTTTCATTCATTTCTCTCCCTCTTGTGTGGAGTTCTCAGGACACTTGAACACAACTCTTCTCATAAGATTCTAAAAGCCAAGACACCACTCCAAATAATAAACTGTGGTTGCAGATGTCAACAGAAATGAAGCCAAAATAGAAACAAAAGGGAGATTAATCAGGTTTGCTCATGCTGAGAATCCAGAGAATGGGCTAAATATGGATTGTTAACCATGAACAACCCAGAAAGAGAACTTATGGTTTGTTGATGGGGTGGAACTCAAGGTTGTTTAAGCCATGGGTTTTTGTTATCTGCAAACCAAAACCAATGGGTTATTTTAGACAGGAATTGAAAATACAACCTCAGTTTTGTGCACTAATCCTGCGGGCAAACTCTGCGTAAGGTAATAACCTATGCTCTCAGTTGTCACTACTTGTAAACCAGGTTTTGTTAGGAGAACTCTGAGATTTGCAGAAATGCAAAAAATGAAAAAGATGCTGAGCAGAGGGGGAATGCCCAGTTAGAGCTCCTCACATTGTATACTATTCTGGAAGAAGGCATGGTTAACTGGGGAGGGGCGGGCTCTGAACAGGAGTACTCCTGTTCGGAGATGAGGGTACAATATTATGTTTTGGTAGCGGTCTCATTTGTTATCCTCACATACACCAAAGGCAAAGGGGTTGGTGGAAGAAGATCTCCTGCTATTTGCATACAATAGGAAGCAAATTGGTTTTGGAAAAAGAATGTGAGAAGCAATCATCCACTTTAGATTGAAAAAGAAAAAAAAAGTTCATGGTAAACTTTATTTTTATTACTATTTTCTATCCAAAGGTAAAATACAAAAGAATAATAACTTTAAAACCCAATAAAATACAAATGTACTACTAACTACGACAAGACAGCAGCAATCATACAGAAATACACAGACTCAAGGGAAGAAATAAAAGCCTCACATCATTATAAAAGGGCCCAAAGAAATGGCTGGTCTTCACCATTTGTCTAAATGATGGAAGCAAAGCACTAAATACACTACAAGAGGGAAGCTGCTCCAAAGCGAAGACAGAATAGACCCTTTAGTCTCCCATTTTCAACATTTGCAGAGCACCACTGTCCCTTAGCCTCATATTACTTTATTTCAAAGCAAAGGGGCAGAATTACGCAATGCAAAACCAATGAGACGATCCCTTGTGTTTCAGATTCTTACCCATGCGCTGTGGTTCAGCCAATATTTTCATCCATCCTGTCTAGTTTTTCCTGCTTCCCCAAACTAACCAACCATTTAATTAATGTCTCTGCATTCAAGAACTAATAATATGTTCTAACCATCCTTGTGACATTAAGTGTTTCCAAGATTGATTGTGGAATAAGGTAGCTCAGAATACTTTTAGGATACAATCCTAACCATGTCTACCCAGGAAACAGACCCACAACTCCAGGCATTCTCGATGTAGGAATATGCAAGAGTACAGGAGCAAAGGTCTCCTTTTCACTGATTCAGGGGAGCAGCAGCAGTGTGCAAACAGCTGGTGTCCCTCTTACCGAAATGGGGAGTGGTATGTGGGCAGAAGAGGACTAGGAGACAAAGAGGGCAGGAGAGTTGGCAGTTCAGCACTCAGCTGTGACATGGCTGGCTTATGCCACAATGAGCTGGTTTGCCAAGAGGCTGCATGGAGGCAGGCCCAGAGGTGTTGGTAGCTACTTAGCTCTAATGGGAAGGCAGTTTACTAGTGTCTGAGAGAGATACTGTGATAGAAGGAGAGCGGGTTCTGACATGGCTCCACCAAGTCAGCAAGGCTTCAGCTTTTCAGCATGTGTTCAGTAGGAGTACATGATCAGAGGGCATCAGGAGGATATGGATGGGGAAAGCATTGTGTTCTGTAGTATGTGCTTCACTGTGGCATGTGGTAAGGTGGGCACAGGACCAATAGAATAGGAGTGAAGGAGAAAGAAGAGCAGGAATCTGGTAGGGGTAGGCACTACTGGGATAGGAAGAATTGGGAGCAAAGCTAAAGAGAATGTGGGCAAGTAGGAATGGGAGAACCAGGAATGCTTCAGCTCACCAAGATTCTTGGCACTTCAAGTTGAAAGCTCAGTTTGGCTTATTCTCATTCTCATTTGCAACCTGTGGGTTTTTTCCATTTGAACAGGGAAAGTGTACATTTTTCAATGGTGCACAATCCACCCCTGCCAATTAATACAGAAAAATACAAGTTTTTAAAAGTGTGTTTTCTAAAACGCACTTTAAGAAAACTGCATATTTTGCAAATGTGAACCCAAGTTCAGGAATTTGTGAACATCGCCCACTGATGTCTGTGCCTGCAAGCAGGGCATTTTCAAGTGATCTGCAAACTGAAATGAAATTCTTGAACCTCCCTATGGGCAGAAGCAGCTATATTCAACCTGTACTTGGAAGTGTGATGCTTATCCTAAGTTGCAAGGCAGAGAAGGGCAGGTAATGCCGCACAACTGCTACAAAGGAGAGCACTTCTCTCTCTCTCCCTTGGTATCATACTAGTATCTGATACCAGGGCAAGCTGTAGTTGGAGCCTCTACAACCAGGACAAGAAACCAGAAGTGGCAACTCTGCAGTATCCACTTCTGTGCCACTTCTGTGCATCCCTCAATTCCTTTCCCCTCTCATTTTCTTGCCCTAATGGAGCCACCCCAAACTGGTCAATCCAAATGGCTGGTAAAAGAAAACACCAATCCTGAAGTCATGTTTGCCACCTCTGTTGCTCCTGGCAAACACATCTCTATCCATTAAAGTTAGCGACGTAAACTGAAAAAAATGAGCCTCTGGAAGCTCACATTGCACCCCACCTGTGCCTTACACTTTTCACCCATGGCTGGAGAACAGGGGTTGAACAAAATTAAGGAATGAGAAAAAACCTGTAGCTTGGCACTCCCCAGGCCCCCTTTTGCCACAGAAAAGGCTAATAAAAGAACTTGAAGAGAGTGTGTGTGCAACCTGGACCTCACCACAGAAGCAGCCCCAGTGGCCAAGAACAAGAACACAAGAGCTACTTCTCTTCCATTCAAGGAGAGGTACTGCCTTTAGGTCCTCTTTCTCTGCTCTGCCTCTACTCTCTCCCCCCACGCCTACCCCTTTGTTGTGCTGCACTGTTTCTATTCCAATCTATCTCCCTCTAATCCAAACAGGATTTGCACTGCTGACACACAACTATTACCCTGATTTACAAGCCAGAGATATGCATGGGTGAAATCACAGGGGAAGGCACTATCAGACCAGGTCAATGTGCCACATCACATCTTTCGTGTCCTCAGACCCTCTATCTTCCCCATCAGGATTTGGGCCTGAAAGACCCAAGAAAAGTGTGGGTGCCCAGAGGGTAAGTGTGAGCAAGCACAATTTATGGCATTGTGTTTACTGATCACAGGGCACCACAGTTAAGGCTGAAACCTTAGCTTCCAATTTTGGGCTCTGTGGAGTATGAATCCACACGAGATAGCTTTAACTTGGGTCTTAAAATGGCAGGCTTTCTGAGCACTGAATACACATGCTCATTCAGACACACACAATAAACAAATATAGCTGAGAATAAACCAGTTGGGTTTCCATGCAGCAAAGGAAGCTCTTTGTTCAATGCTTTCTCTACTTTGGAGCCATTTTCATATACCCGGAATTACATTGTGCCATTCCCATTAACATTAGCAGCAAATTATATAGCTAATCAATGCCCTGGTGAAGTACTAGATTTTGAGATCTGCTGCTTAATGAACACATTTCTCTCATCTGCAATGTGTATCACACTGCATCTCAGAAGACATTTGTCTCGATATAAGAGATGAGAGCTTCTTTTCATGGGAAAAGACAGCACCTAAGCAGACTGTGTCCTCCCAGGCACTTCACTGAAATTGAAACTGACTGTGTGAAGACATTTCTCCCCCATATTGTTTTCAGTGGGAGGGAAAGGGAGGGGCCATACCTTGGTGGCAGAGCTGAAGCTTTGCATCCAGAAGGCCTCATGCTCAGTGCCCAGCAACTCCCTTTACAAGGATCTCAAACAGCAAGGCTGAGGAAGGCTCCACTTGAAGACCTTGGAGGCCTCCTGCCAGGCAGAACACATGGTATGGTGTGGGCAGTCCAGTGGTTTGATATCCTAAACAGAACTTATGATGCACCCGTTTATGATAGAGATCCCCCAGACACTGACAGAGGAGATGGGAAGTCTCCATTTCAAGTTCCTAACTCCATTATTAGTTAAGATTGTAATAAATAACCATGAGACACATAGACACCATCTTGAAGCTTTCACAGTTCTTGTTCAACTACAACCACATTTCCCAGCACTAGGAGAGCAACTCTGTGTGTTTCTCAAGCCTTCTGTGTAAGACTCAAGCAACACACTTCTGCATGCTGAATAGCACTCATCCAGCCATGCCTGCTGCTTCCACCTGCCTCCTCCGTTTCCTTCCACCTAAATTCAGACCACCTTCTGCAGTGTTGCTACAGTGCATCTTCCATGGTGGAGTCCATATGGAATTTCCCAGCCCCACACACCAAGAAGGGCTTCCTAAAGGTGTACTCATTTCGACAGTGTGCCCTTTCATGCTTTTAGCCAGTGTCACGTGGGCAAATGGCCACGTTCTGTGCCATTACATCAAACTTGCTGACAGTTGAAAGAATATATACATGTAAGCAAAGATGACATCTGGGCCACCTCTGGGAACACTACTAAAAGGTAAATGGAATGTCAAGTGTGAACTCTTCTTTACATGATTTCTGGTGTTTGATTTGGAAATTTAGTTTTGAGCAAAATGCTTCTTTATAGTCAAATAAAAAAGATGATTTTGAATCAATCGTACATTTTCACTTCCTCATGACTTCTTTCCACAATGTTCAAACAACATTATTATTAGTTAAGCAAAATTATGATTCCACCCTCCCACTGCTCAATGAGCACTCAAGGCAACGTACAAATAAAAAAAATGTTTCAAATAATAAAAATACATCAAACTACAATAAAGAGAAAGAACCAAGACAACATATCCCTCATGAGAATAAAACCAGAGTGCAACAATAAAAGCAAAGTGTGTCATTAACCATTAAATGCCCAGGAGAAATTTTTATCCTCACCAGGAACCACTGTAGCCTTTCCAAGGAGAAAATTCAAGAAAGTAGGCCACTGAAGACTTTACATATAAGAACCAGCATCCTCAACTGGGCCCAGAATCAAACAGTCTCCAGATTGCTGCTATATAAAACATTCCAAATAATCAGTATCACCCATGAAAGCTTAGAGCTAAAGCATCACCAGCCACTCCAAGGCCTTACTCAAAACGGGAGATTGGAAACTAGGAAATAATGTTCAAGGGCAACAGGGACCAAAGAAGTCTTCTTTCAAAAGGTCTTGGCATTACAGTAAGAGTAGTAGTAGTCCAGATATGTTCGAGTCTGCATCATCTCCAGTATTATGATCAGTAGCTAAGAAGGCTGACATAAAGGAATGATGACCAATAACCAAAATAGCATACTGTGTTTGCTTATTGGTTTGTTTGCTTTTATTTATTTATTTTTGGGCAAATGACTACTGACTGACTGACAGATCTTCCCCTTGGATAAAGCCCAATTATCTTCATAAATGAAGAGACATTAAATGATATAAAGCCCTTAAGGTACACATAAATACCTCCTTGTAGTGAAATTATATATTGTGTATGTTATTGTGTGTGGGCGTGAGAGAGAGAGAAAGAGAGAGAGAGAGAGAGAGAGAGAGAGAGAGAGAGAGAGAGAGAATGTTTTAACCCATCTTGATTTACACAGTAGGTGCTATTAATTTCTTGATTTATATGAAAGACTATTCTATGTAGTTTATCATAAGGTGTGTTTCAGAACCCAGAACCATTGTGTTCATGCTTCAAGGTTTCCTGTAGAAACACAAACACAAGATAAATTGGCAAAGTGGCAACTGGTGACTAAAGCTCTCCTTTTTTCCAAACCTGGCCTGAGACATTACAAAAATTAGCTCTGCCTGCAGAATCACTGCTCATTATACTCTAATTACCAATTTAAGAGTATGCTGATCAATCACCTAAGGCAACCTTAAAGCTGCAAATGGGCAACCTTTACAAACAGTAAAACTGTACATTCCAATTCACCAGAATGTTGTGCTAAAATTACTATTTCAATTCTCAAAACTTTTTTTTTTGGTTGTTTGCTTCTATAAAAGGTCATCACTTCAAGGCTTAGCACCTCATTAATTTTACTTCAAGTCCAGGAAGTGAAGGGAATACTCTTAATAGAATGGCCAGTGAAATTCTCAGGAATCGAGTACATTCTGAATTATTAACAGCCTGGTCTCCAGAAGCAAACCACAATGAAATAATGGCTTTCACAACTTTTTCTCAAAATGATCTTTAAACTGTGCAAGCCTCATTATTTGCGATGGCATTTAGACTAACTATACTAGCTTATTACAACTACAGAACCACCTAACTATTCTTAACAGGAACAATATAGCAGTCATGTGTTCAAGTTCTTTACTCCACGTCTCGAGCCAAGTCTCCAGTCTTTACTTCCAAGTCCAAGTCAAGTCTCAAGTCATTGCAAGAAATTTTCATGTCAAATCTCAAGTTTCTTCTCAAGTCTCCCCCTGCCCCTGCTCCCATCCCGCCCCTTGTCACTCCCTCCCACCACAGAAATCTCTAGCCACATCACTTGCTCATTGCTCCTGAGTTGAGTCCAAGTCACATCACTGACACAATATAGCATTTTAAGCCCAATTTTGAACACAGTCTAACAGCCAAGTGAGTTGGCCAGTTGCAAGACATCCAGCTGCCAGTTAAGCTGCCCTAAGAAGCAAATCTTACTTCTCAGGCCTCTCACATTTCTCTGTTTATATGGGGTGGACGTGTGTAAGGGGAATTAAATGGCACTATAGTGCAGGCAAGGCCAGCAAGCTGCTCACTCACCATGGCATGGATGAATGTCCAATTTACCACCCAGCTAATTTTAAAGCAGGTTTTAATCTACGACTAGAAATTAAACAGTTCAGATACACGAAGTAAATCAGCAAAACTCTGCAATATTTATCTCCTCCCCTGACTGTGCACCACAGTACAATCACCTGGCACTGTCACAGCTATCACCCAATGCCATGTCTAAAAAGTAGGGCTGATGCTGGAACATTGCCAAGCAAGAGGGTACAGATTTGCATATAGCTTGCATGTACTAATTTCCACGTACAGATGGAAATGTACAAATGCTACCTAGAACAGAGGAATGTAACACATCACACCCAAGCAGGAAAGTTGTGTAAGCAGTACCCAAATGTTCCAAATGGCACAGATTTCCACAATAGGTACCAAAGTGTGGGTGATTTAAAATGTGCACATTTTGAGAAAGTTGTGAAATTTGGAAGAGGTGTGTCTTTTGAGAAAGATGTGCATTTGGAACTAACTAATCTTCAGTCAGGCAAACACAAGGTGCTTTACTCAGGAAATGACACCTTCACAACAAACAGAGTAGCTGTAATAATGAGGCACAATGTAGCATAGGAAGTCAGGGGCTCTAATCAGAAGTCTGAAAGAATCAGTACAGCAATCAGAATTCTCAGAAAACCCATCAACATAACCATGTTGATATGCAACCAAGCCTATGCCCCAGCAATAGACGCCGAAGAAAAGGACACTGAAAATGTTCATGCAAACATTCAAAAGGAAATTGATAACACATTAAAATAAAGCATAATGATAGCATAGTATAGGTAAATGGAATGCAAAGGTAGGAACTGAAGCAGAATGTTGCAGGAGAATTTGACCAAGGGGTCAGAAATGAAGCAGAAAAACCACCCATAGAATTCTGTGAAGCCAACAGTCCATTTATTGCAAATATGTAATGCTAGCAGCAGATCAGATGACTGAACACATTGACTTCATCAGATGGCCAATACAGAAATCAAATAGACTATGAAATTGGAAGAAGAAGATGGAGAAGTTATATTCTGACTGCCAAATCAAGACAAGGAACAGATTGTGGTAGTTCTTAGTATCAAAATCAGAGTAACACTGAAAAAGATCAGTAATAAAAGAATAGTGCTTAAAAGACAACTTTAATAACATTCCTGAGGAATTTAAAGTCTATATAAAGAACAGATTTGTATTACTCAAGTGACCATGAGCCAGAACTGCAAACTGAAAGCAGATACTTTATTAGGGAAGAATGCAAACAAAACAAAACAAAACAAAACCTTGTAGGAAAAAAGAAACAGCCTTGAAACAGCCTTGACAAAAGAAACACTATCAATTGTTAAGGAAGGTGAGAAGCAAAAGCAAAAGGTGACAGAAACGGGTTCTGAATCTTGAATGCAACTTTTCAGCAACTATCATATAGAGACAAAAAGAACTATGAAAATGGCCAGTGCAAAGAAAGAGGACAACAAAACTGAAAAACAAGCGACCTCTTCCAGAAGATTCAAGAAATTAAAAGGCCATTCAAACGTAGATCAAAAATGCCAAAAGACCAACAGGGGAACATACTATCTCCCCAGGATAAAATAAAGAACAGGTGGGAACAATATATGGAAGAACTATATAGAACTGGTAGAAAGATGACCAACTCCTAGGAAGAAGAAAGTGCAGTATTAGAAAGTGATATTGGAAAGTGAAGTGAATGCAACACTGAAAGCACTTAGAAGGAATAAAGCATCTGAAGTAGATATGGTACCTATCGAACTGTTCCAACTTGCAGAAACTGAATTGGTCCATGTGCTAACAGGATTACTACTAACTACTACTACACCTGTTCCAAGTGACTGGAGCTCAAGATAGCTCACAAAATTCAAAATTTACACAATTAATGTGTAGGAATATGAAAATAAATATGGAAAACAAAACAATGGCCAACAGATTAGAATTGTTCAATATACATTTGTGTGAGTGTGTGTGTGAGATGCATGCAGTTCTAGGACCATTGCACTAATTTCTCATGCAAGCAAATGATACTCAAAGCTGTTGAAACAAATTATTTTCTTATAAGAGTGCTAATGTTTTCCCTGGATTCCAGCTAAAATTGGTGGAAGATATACCAATAATTTAAGATGTGTAGATGATACCATATTACAGGCAGAAAGCAGCAATGAACTGAAACTACTCCTGATGAAAGTGAAAGAAGACATTGCAAGAGCAGGACTGCTGTTGAAAATTTAGAAAATAAAAATCATGACAACAAAGAATTATGTACTGTTATTGTCAACAATGAAGAAATTGAAATTGTGATCAGTTTTGCATACTTTGGCTGTATTATCAGTTCAAATGGATACTGTGGCCAAGAAATTAGAACACTGATATTTGAAAGAGTAGTAATGAAGGAACTAGAAAAGATTATCAAGTGGTAGAACATTTCACTGGAGGCCAAGGCCAAGATCATCCAAACTACTATATTCCTATCAGTACATATGAAAGCTGGACAGTGAAGGAATCTGACAGGAAGAAAACTGATGCATTCCAAACACAGTGTTGGTGTGCAAATACCCTGGACAGACAGAAAGATGAACAAGTGGGTCCTAGATCAAATTAAACCGTAACTTTTCCTGAAAGGAAAAAGGACAAAATTGAAGTTGGACTTCAAGCACATCATGAGAAGACAAGCCTTACTGAACAAGTCAGTAATGCTAAGGGAAGTCAAAGTCAGAAGAGGAAAAGGAAGAGATGACTTTTTTATTTTATATACTGGTCAATAGCCAAAGTTCTATAAGCGATGTACAACAGCACATAAAATGCAGTACAGAGTACAAGAACAATTAAAACATCATGAAAAAGTTACCATACAAACATTTAAAACCAAATTTGAAAAATTATAATAGCTTAAACAGTGTAAATCTTGCAACCTGTTTCAGCAGCTAGCGAAGCCCCAGTAAACTAATTCAAGGCCCTGCAGTAGAGGGCAGTCTTAACCTGATGCCAAAAAGATATCCAGGTTGGCACCAGGTGGACCTGAGTGGGAAGCTCATTCAATAACTGGGAGGCCACCACTGGAAGGGGGCTTCTCCTTGTTACCACCAACTGAGCCTCCATTGGAGTTTGCAATCAGGGCTCAGCCCCAGATTTGGCAGGCAAGGCAGGAGTTCCATCAGGTATTGTGTCCCAAGCTGTGCAGGGCTTTATTGATTAAAACTAGCACCTTGATTTGGCAGTGTGAAGGCAGCCAAGGTAAAACAGTAGAAATTGGTGTTATACACTTCAACCATCTGCCCCCGTTATTTATCTGGCTGCTGCAGTTTCCACAAGCTGCAGCTTCTGAACAGTCTTCACTGGCAGCCCCACATAAAGTATATTGCAGTAATCTAGTTTAGAGATGACTACAGCACAGATTAGTGACAGTGAGCTATCTTTGCCTAGATCGGGGCACAGCTGAGCCACCAGTCAAAGAAGGCACTTGGAGAAGACTTGATTCCACAAAATCTGAGGAAACTGAGCCTTGAGTTTCAAAAGATGGGACATCTGGAGTACATTCATTCATAGGACTCTCATAAATTGGAGACAACTTATACATTGGCATGTAACGACAAGAAGAGGCAGGATATTCATTATGCATCCCAAGGGCTTCACATCTTTTAAAGTGCTCTTTGTTGCCAGAATAAAATTGATACATTCTTGATTATACTCTTACACAGTATGCAAGTGGCTGTATGCAGATATTTTGAATTACAGCAGCAATCTCTTTCCCAGTTCTTGCTAGTCTGCATCATCATTCTTCTGAGTCCATCTTCCCAAACATGCCTTCCTTCAGAAGGCCATTCGCCATGCTGGCTGAGCATGATGGAAGCTGTTGTTTAACACATCTGGATTACGACTATTACCATAATGCTAAGCCCTTTATTCAAGGAGTCTTCGTAGGCTATGACAACCCTTGATAGTTATTAGCCAGCTTTTAATTTCCCACTTTAAGTAAAGGAGTGACCAGTGGCATTCTAATCCCAGGCTTTCTTGGCTGCCTCCCACTAAACACATCCCTGAATTTTCAGTTACACTTCACCTTATTTCATTAGGAGCTTTACACAGTAGAAGGAAAGGAAAGGGCAGCTTTGCCTGTTCAGAGCTACTTTCCTTCCCCAGCAATTTGTTGAGTGCGACATGCCAGCACTGGGCAGAGCCAAAAGTGAGTCAAGACATTCCTCCCTGTCTCATTCTGGCATCGTTTTCTGAAGCAAAAATTTGCTTTCTGATCAAAAATTCTGCAAGGCACCCAGTTGGGGAAGGTTGGTCTATAGAAATATGGGCAAGGGCAGAATGCAAAGCTGCAGCCTCCAGGCTGATTCAATTTCCATTCAAACCAATTAGGTATGTGTACTTATTACCTTTTACTGAATTCAGACCTCACCCTTGCAGATAAAAACTCTTCTAAGATGATT